AAAGCTGGTCTTTCTTAGGGATGTGTATAAGGATGTTTTCTGTTTTAGACACCCATCCATTAATTTTGCTTGCTGTTCAAGAAATTCTTATACCTCCTAGAATACAAGGAGCAGATTATTTTTATCAGACTATTTCATTTATCCTGAAGCTGGTTTTTTTTTTGTTTTATTTTTTTAATTTGAAATGCAGAATGAAGTTCCTGGTTCGTCGATGGCACAGAGTTACAGGTTCTGGTATTCTGAGTATCAACAGGGATGTCTTTAGCCAGAACACAGGTAAATCATAGTCCAGTAATGACTGAAGAGATGGTATTTACAAGTCACACCACTGCTTAATTGAAATGGTTTTTAATTTATATTTTTGTCATGCAGAATGAATGGGGGCTGTTCCCCCTTCCTTTTGCTATAATTGTTTGGATTAATCTGTTTCTCAGTTTTCTGAGTTTCCATGCTCAGCACAGACACTAACCTATTTGCTTTCTCTTCAGTCTTGTTTTACTCCATTGTGGGTGGGATTTAAAAAAATATGGAAGCTTTCCCTACGGAGTGTGTTCATGAAAGCAATTTTAGCTGCATCATTGGAGTTTTTCTAGGAGATCTGCACCTTGGCCTTTTCTTCAGAACAAAAGCTTATCATTTTTTTGCTATAGCTTAAAGTCTGGGAAATAATGGTTTTCTGATTGCTTTTTTGTAGGACTCTAAGGAGAATCAGAAGCTTCTTTATTATTTACTGACTCTCTAGGGCTGCACTAAAACCCTTGCTCAATCTGTCAGTTTTCTCATTGACTTCAGTGAGGCCAGAATTCCACCTCTGCTTCTCCCTGAGGGAGTCTGAAAGTGGTCTACATTTGTTAAATACCATTTTTGTGATATGCAAACAGAAAACTCACATTTGAGATTCCCAGTAAAGTGCAAAAGATGTTAATTTCTTTTTAGTTTTCAAGACATTGCTTTTTGTTTTTCTAGGTAATGAATTACGGCCTGATTCATTCTCTGGTGGCATGGATCTTTATGGAGAACAAAGACATTCCTATAGATCCAGGTCAGGCATGGAGTCTCCTAGATCTCCTGTAAACTTTCAACATACGTACGTTTTATTTATTATTCTCTGTCAGACACTGTTTAACTAAATGAAAGCATCAGTGTTTACTGCTAAGGTTTGTAATCTTTGATGCTGTAAGATTTAACTTTTTTTGTAAGGATATATAAAAAATTATGTCTCAGGCATTCAATGTGCGATTACTCATCACCTGATCAAGGCCAAAGCTTGCACACTTCTGAAGACTGGTTTGCGTCATGTTCTCGGCACTGGCAGAGATCCTGGTTGGAGCTGTGGTTACCTACACCTGTAGGGTCTGGGCTTTGCAACCAAGCAGTCCTGCCCAACCTTCTGGTTGGCAGCAGTGTGGTGTGGAGAGGGGCTGCTTCAGGTGCCCTCAGCCAAAGGAGGGGAAAAGCAGGGCTGCCCACAGTGGTTGAGATCACCTGCTTACTGTGGGCAGGGAGGAATTGCTGCAGCCTCAGGACCAGAGTGTGGGTGGAAGCTGTTTGGCAGCTCCACTGCTTGTTCTTGTTCAAATACCTTTGGTTGGCTGCCCTATGCTGTGATACCAGAGGCATCAGTGAGTCAGATGCCTGTGAAACCGGATATTTTTCCTCCAGGGCAATGTTTTATGAGTGCCATCAGTCTTTGATGAGCTTATATGAAGTTGTGAGCTCAGATCTTCACTGAGTATCAGATTTGAGCCATTTTGGTTTTTCATTTTCATGTATATGTATTCATTTTCATTCATCTGTATAATCTTAGTCTGTGATGACTGTAACAGTTTACATGGAAAAAACACTCTAATCTGTTATAGCCACTGTTGACTTTTACTTATAGAGAATAATGACAAGAGGTAGAATCCTGTAAAGGTGGTGGTGTCCTTGTTCACACAAGCTTCTTAATAGAAAGCAAACTTTCACATACCATGGCTTCCACTGCAGTCTCAGTAGAAATTTGCTGGTCAGTCCTTGTCTCAAAGAAATGCAGCAACAAATCAGGTGTAGTGAAGACGAGTGGGCAGAGTGGTTTCTCTGGGGGAGGCAGTATGATGGCTTGGGCAATAAATGGCAGGAAGATTACATGGGTATGATGTGCTGGCTACCACATGGGTAAGCTAGGGGACGTGCAGGCCAGACCATAAAGTATCCCTACCTACAGTAATTTGCTGTGTCTGCTGAAATTTTTACTTGAAAGTTCACTTTTTGACAAGTTGTGTGTGTTGTTCTGCCCCTAGGTTCCATGGGATGCACGCTGATTTAAACCCAGTCTCTTTCACCTGTTCTCAGCTGCAGAACTACGATCCCGAAAGAGCTCTGACAGATTACATCCATCGGCTGGAGGCACTACAGAAGCGACTTGGCAGCGTGCAGTCAGGTAAGGGCACAGGTAGCCCTCCCTGTGGCTCCTGGGAGCACAAGGCACACTTCCAAGTGTGTGCTGGTTCTCTCAAAATAACATGCAAACAACAAACAACTTTGATTTTAGGCATTTTCAGCCTTAAGAGGCATTTTTCTGAGCTGTAGCAAAAAGCTCATGAAGATTATAAAATTCTTTGAAGAGACATACAAGTGTGCTGTAATTATAGATTTTGAGTTTATTGATAACACTTTAACTTCCCTGATTTCTAATAAATGTGCAAGGATTCAGCTGGCATCTTACTTAGATTGTAAGCTATATGAAGAAAAACGTACCCAAAGACAGGGATGTGGAAGTACAAGGGGAATTTCTTCTCCTACCACTCTGAACTACAGGAGTTACAGCTGTTTTGTCACATAGATTATGGCCAATTTTGTGCTGCAAAAGGAATACATAAAATAAATTGCTAGAACAATAGGATGAAATTTATCAACCTTGATTTTTGAAGTTCCTGTGTTGAAGTCTTACTTCAGCACAAAATCCATCATTTGGAGAAGCTCTGTTCTTAAAAGATTTGACCTTTAAATGCCCCTTCCAACCCAAACTATTTTATGGTTTTCCATGTAAAATCTTTCAAGCTTATTCAGCTGAATGTCACTGATGCATCTTGGTATACTTGTTCCAAGTAATCTTAATGGAAATTTTTCTCCATCTTACAGGTTCGACATCATACACTCAGTTGCACATGGGTATGAGAAGATAATAATACCCTTCAACATCTCCATCACTGGCAGTGATGCTAACAGATTGCCTTCTGTAAATCTGTGCTCTTTCTGTGCTTTTGTACAACGTGTATATTGTGGGACCAATATGAACACAGCTATACGATTGTATACAGTTCCATCCTGGCACACCCACGTAGACTGGGATTTATGTATGTAGGCACTTTGTGTTCATGGAAAAAAAAAACAACCAAACAAAAAAAACCCTCCAAACAAACAAAAAACCCAAAAAAATCCCCCCAAACCCAAAACAAAAAAACCCCCACCATTAAATTACATGTATATTTGTGGAATGCTAATTTAAATGATTAACTTATGAAGTGTGTATTTATGAAAAGGGTGCGAAGATGAAACTTGTGTATTAATTAAATTGAGCTACATTCAGCAAAGTTTACTTGCACTTTTTCTGGCAAGGCTACTGAAATTACATTGACTCTCATAATATTTGCTACTGGCAGTGCAGACAGAATATCACTTGTAGAGACCTATTTTTGTAATGGTAGAAGTTTTGAATTTTATGGGTATTTTGTCAAAGTACTGAAATAAAGATGACCATGCTTCTAACTGTGTTCAAGGACTGCTCTCTTATTTACACGGAACAAGTTGCTCCTACCTGTGGTCCTGCTTGTAGTGGCTGCAGCTTTACTTTTTACAGATTCCAAAGCACTGCTACTAAAGAGAAGGACAGGTACAAATCTGGCTTCTGCAGTTCCTGGTCATATCTGCTGATAGGGCTGGAAGAGAACATCCTGCACTCCCTCAGCTGCCATGACTGATACAAATACAAGGTTTTGTAACTGAGTTCAGACAGGAAAAACAGGACAAAGCCCTTGCTACACTGTGCACTAATAAAGGGGGGAGGGAGCTCTTAGCATGACTAATTGAAGTTGCTTTAGTACAAAATTACTTACAAAAGCTTTTCAAAAAGAACTGACAGAGTTGGGCACAGAAAACATCCCCAAGAGGTTTGTTTACAAATTTAATTCAAAAGTCACGTGAGCCAGAGCTCATTACCATTTATCATCACCACTTTTGAACCATAAACCATTTAACAATCCTGCATGATTGGTCCATCAGTACCAAACTGGACAACATTCAGCTATTTCACTTAATTTGTGACCCTTTTATACACAAACATCTTTTTTACGAAATTCATGGGTTTAGATCATCATATTGTTACTTTCACACTGTACATCGAGCTTCCAGAGATCACTATTTTCAGAACTTTTTTGTAGAGAATTATTTGTTGCTTTCTGAACCTAAGCATTTTACCACTACTTCAAGTTAGACAGTTAAATGACCTAAGTCTTTTCAAGAATAACTGTCAACATTTTGTACTCTGCCTGAGTACTCTACTACTGAGCTGTACAGTAACATTTTGTTAAATCAGCCAAGACCATCCCTCACTTGCATGGAACAGAATCATAAATGCCAAAGGAAGGGCACCACCAAGTACATTCCCCTGTGGTGCCTGTTCCCTGATGGACTTACTGAGATTGAGTGCAGAGGTAAGGTATTCAGCCTTGCCCCTTAGTTATTTGGGGTAAGTAATCTTCAATTATTTTTCAAAAGTAAAAGGTTCCACTTGTAGAAATCACTTATTTCTTCATTAAAGAGCTGGCATGCATCTTAAAAGTGTTACACCAATAGAAAAGACACTTTTGCTTTAAAAATACAATGAGAAAGTTGTAGAACAAGCAATTATACACAGCAGCAGTAAATGGTGGGGGCAAACAAAACAGATGCAAAAACTTTGCATTTGGTAGATGACTTTTGCTTCCCTAACAGTAGATGCAACAGCTTCCATTTGCCACTCATTCTGTCACAATTTTATTCAAAAGTCTGTTAGTTCACACAGTTTAAATAAGTAAGGCTTTAGGACCACAATTTACAGTGACCTCCTCTTATATCTGATAACGGGGTTATTAGGTGTGTGTATCATTGTTGTATAATTTATAGTCGGAAAATAGTCATTGATGAGATCAAATTCATACAAACGAAGCAAAGTAGACCAAATAGTCTTAATTTGAACATATGCAAAGTTTTCTCCAATGCAGCGATGACGGCCTAGAGGGAAAGCCATAAAATGCAGTTAGAATTTTTTGTTATTAAATCCCCTTTGACAACCAGTTAACTTTAAAAGTTTTATGCAGACAGTAGTTGCCCCTTTCTAAACAATCCAAGGCTCTGATGTTGGACATACCCCATTCCATAACTTCACTTAAGTCTTATTTTTCTAAGCTGTTACTACGTTAAACAGATGTGTAAGTGGAACGAAATTGTGTTGTTCTGTCCCCACTAAAAAGCTTTAATTTATATACTAGCAAAGAAGTGTTTGCAACACTGAGAAATGAGATCAACTCTAACTGCACTGTGGCAATAATTTCAAGGTGACTCTACAGATTTTTACTCTGCCTAAAACTGACCTTGTAATACCAGGTTTTACCTTGACTTGAAAAGATTTGAGTCAAACATCACACATGCTAACCTAAAGATGTGTTTCGATTACTGCTCTGAGCGATACATACAGCTATGACTAATGCAAAACTATTAACTTAATTGTTTTAACAGCACTTCCACAGAAAGAAAACTTTCAGGCAGAAACAGAAAGATGCTTCAGTGTGGAGAGGTGCTGTACGAGATAACTGGTATGAGCCACCTCAGCACCCCTCAGTCAGGAAGGTGCTGCATTCTCTTACTCACCAGCGCCAAATGGAATGTACGCAAATTTCTCTCCAGCTGCTGGGTTATCTTGGAGGTATCGGTCAGGCTTGAAGTCTAGAGCATCATTCCAGGAGTCTCTGAGTCTGTGGTTAACAGTAGGAGATACACAGACCTGATGGCCAGGGGGAATACTGTATCCAGCAACGGTCTACAAGAGAAGAGACAAGACCCTACACGTCACAAAATGGCTCCATTTTTCTTTTAAAAGTGCTGCCTGAAGAGTTGCATCATGAGGCTTAAATTTCAAAAGAGATTTTGGCTAAGTGCATTTAAAATTAATGCAGCCTAACTCTCTCTTACTTGTACAGGTCACAATGTTCAAGTAGTTGCAGGAACCTTTCAGCTGCTTTAATAAGACTGGCAATTCTACAGGAGGTCTTAAAAAAATTAATAAACTTAAAATTTATTGAAAGTCTTTGTCATTGGAGGGGCATAATTTAAAAAAATTACTTATCTGACTTGGTATCTTATTTGTACAAGCACCAAGTTTTCTTTCTGATTTCCTAGCTTGTATTAAGTGCATGCCAAATTTTTCCATGATAGCTATTAAAAATACTTGGCAAACAAGAAATAGCTTTAAATTGTGGCACCAGACTAAACTCAAGTAAGACTGGATAGCTACAAGAAAGAGTCAGTTTTGCTGCATGTGGCTGTTCCTAGATTCCCTCAGAGCCTGCCCTTCTCCAGACCAAAAAAAACCCTGTTCCCTCAGCCTTTCACCACAACCCCCTACAATCTTTGTGGCCATCTGCTTGCTTCACTCCATCAACATCTTGCTTTCTGGGGGCTGGAGTGGTCTGAAACTAGCCACAATTCCAGATGAAGGTAACAAATACCAAGTTCAAGGTACTAATTCCTTTCATCAAACAAATCTGGCTATGCTACCACTGCCAGAACCACAGGTGACCATCGGCTTCCCTCCCTGCCAGCAAACACTGCTCACTTGTGTTTCCTTCTGCCAACTGAGATACCTCTGATCTGGCCTCTGCTGCTGCAGTAAAGTGAGCTCCAAAAAGTGTCCTCACCTGGGGAGTTCTGGCCATTCTCATCATGGTCATTATAGGAGGTCTGAGCCTTAAAGTTTCTTTTAGACAGCGATCCAGCAAACTGAGATCCTTGAGCTGAAAATATAGAGAAAATTATATATTGCAATATAGCCAAGTTTATTCAACACAAAATGCTGTTTTATACCATTTAAAAAAAAATCTTTAAAAAAATTTAAAAAATACTAAGCAGCTTGTATTTACATGTACTTTATAAGCTACATTTCTTTTTTTCTATTTGATTCAATCAAGAAGGAAAAAAAATCTCTGACCAGTGGAATCAAATACAACTAGTTTCTTACTGATCTGTCTCCTGAGTGTTTTCTGTTGCCTAATTAAAGAACAAGGTCACGTAGCATCACTTTCCTTAGTGGGAATATGAGGATCTTCCTCCTCTACAGAACTATCATTTCTTAAATAGACATAGAAACTGTAATTTCCTTTATGAACACTAATGAAAAAAACAGTATCAAGCTGAAAATTTACTTGGACAGGAAGAGAGGAGGAGATATACTGGCAAACAATATCGCAGAATGACTGTGCCAGTTATTATTCTATCACAAAGCATATGGCTCTATTTCATGTTTGTTGATTTTTTAACTTTGTTGTTTAAATACCCAGCAGAAATAATGTACAAACCTGGTCGTAACTTAAGGGTGGCAAGTCATCCCCACAAACTGCTTTCTGTTCTGCATAGCACCGTTCCTGTATGGATTTGTCTCTGGCGAGGAAGAAGCCAAGCCAGGCACTGGTGGTGGAGGATGTGTGCTGCCCTGCCAGCAGCAGCCCAATCAGCATTCCAGCAATCTCATCATCGGTCAGCGGGCGGCCGTCCCTACATCAGAGGGAGTTATGTTAGAGCCTCACTTGGTCACACTTCCAGTTACAATAGCATTTACAATTTCTTCTAATGTACTTCTGTCTCCTGCTACTCTTTGGTTGCCTACCCTAAATGGAGAGCCAAAAGATCCAGGGGCAGGGAGAAGGGAGAAAAGAGGGAGACTCTTAGGAGCCGTAAAGAAAATCATTCCCCAACAGACAGCAAAGAGAAAGGAAGTAAAGTCAGCAACCTCAGAACCACTGATGAAAATCTCAGAAATCTGAATAACGATTGACAAGTTTTAAAGCTGTTTTTAAGAACCCAGCTAGGACCAATTGCTGGTAACAAAACCAATTCAGAACAAGAGGGAGTATTTCTTGGGTTTTGGTAGATAGTTTTAACTGAAGAGCTCAAAGCTAAAGTAAAATACCTATAAATGGCAAGTCTCCAAACCCTTGGCTTACTTGTATGAAGCATCAAGTAGAGTTTGGAGCATGTCGTCCTCCTTTTCCTCAGACTTCCGACGTTTCTGGATAACCTTGTAGAAAATATTCTTGATTTCTTTGTGTGCTCGATCTCGACGTCTGTGATTCAAAACACTTCTGTTAGCAACTTAATACATAAAATGCACATGAGGATTTATTGGGATGTCTAGAATAGCTTAAAAACAAGAAATGGTGGGGGACAATTCAAACAACAAATGATGTTTAGACAAAATGCTGAAGTTGCTTTATCTGTTATTCCTGGTACCTGAAGCTTGGCAGAGGTAGCCAACCTGGCAGAAGCCAGGCAGCATGAGTAAAACCCCCATCCAGGTCGGCATACAGCTGAGCCACCTTCTCATTCAGCAAGCTTCTGATTTCTTTCCCATGTAAGCAATGACTTGCTGTCAAAATGATAAGTTCTGAAAGGGCTTCAAACAGGTCTGAGGAGAGATTTGAAAAACATTACTGAAGATGCATCTCAGTTGAGATGTTATGTTTTACAGGTCATTCTTCATTTTTATTTTGTAGAAGAAAAAAATAAGTAACTGTACACAGATTAATAATTTAAAATAGAGTTTTAGATTGTTTGACTAGGAGAATGAAGAATTTTCTATGTGTCTATGAAGTGTCTCTTCAAAAAACTTTTTAATTAGATCACTGATTTCAACACCTTTTTTCTAAGGTATTTCTTTCTAGAAATTTTTCTAGCAGAGGTAGTAATCCTTCCAAAGCAAGCTGTGCATCACGAGCACAATCCTTTATAAATATAAGTGAAGTCATACAAAAATTTAAACCTGAAATCCAAAACCATGGGAAAGCAGTTAGTCTTGCTGCTCATTGAATTATTTTTATATACTAGTACTCAGATACTGAAATATCAAATTATATATTACCATGTTATTAACTATATGACATATAAATTATATCCTTTCAATATATTTCAATATATTAATATATAAATTTAATGTATTTAAATATAAATACATAGGCTTAAATAAATATTTCTGACACTGTTATGCAGCTGGGGGCTTGTGACAATGGTGATGGTGTATGTCTAGGAAGCTAGTTGGGAATGGGGGGAAATAAAAAAAGAATTTCACTTAGATCACTAACCTAACCATATCAGCTTCAGGAATGCAGTTTTTCAGTGTAGAAGGTCCCTGAGCTTAAGATCTCCAGCACTGGCTCTGGGGAGTCAGAGCAGCACCTTTTCCTAAGGACTAGGAAGTGATATCATGCAAAACAAGCACAACAGGTGCGCTGTCTGTGAGCTGACTAAGAAAGCAAAACTGAAACAGTTCTTCATTCCTTTCAGTAATTTTCTGAGCAGCTTTATTCTCCAATAGCCTTGTATTTGATTTTAAAAAAACTTGTATTATGTTTCTTCTTATGTTCAGTACACTTTTACCTATGTAATTTTTAATTTCTTTAATATTGCAGTGCATAATTTACAAGAAACATATTGCATTGACCTTAATTCCTTCCCAGAAAATAGGAGGAAAAATGCATCTGATATTGCTTACTTTTCTCTCCACTGTCTCCCCATGCTCTGAAATACTCCTTCGTTTCTTTTTCAATCACAGATACATGCTGTTTAAACTGGGCAATGTTTAGCCCAGTTTTGAGCATCTTCTTCTGTTCCAAAAATATCTAAAGGAACAAAGACAGAAAAGCAATCAGTACAAGGATCATCATATTAATGTAATTAAAATGTATTAGCATTTGTACTATAAGAACATTCAGAAATAAAAAGGGATTATGATTAGGACTGCAAGGTACAGCAGATATTCAAATTTAAGTAATAGGTAATATTTTGGTTTTCACCTTCTTTGTTTTTCAAGCAACAGTTTAGAAATGTCCAAGTAAAATAACAGCTCAAAGGAGCTGTGGTTCTCTCTTTTGCAGTACCAAAACAAAAAATTATTTTAGTATCTTCATTAAGCTTTATCCCTGAAGACACAAGACGCATTCAAGGTTGAAATATGAAACACCCTTTAGATATATAATCACAAACCTAATCAGCCCTGTCCTTGCCAAGTCCGGATTCAGCCTGTGTTGTTATGTGGCCTCCTTGCTTTCTCTCCCCCTCCTGTCTTCTCTCAGGCAGTCATACCTTACCCCTGGACTAGAGATGACCCTTTCTTTTACAAAGCCCTTTGATCACTGCCCAAGAAGTCAGACACAGAAGCAGGGGGCAAGCTGGTTCCTAGGAAAACAGTGAGCTTCACACCCTTCTCACCTTTTCCTCTTTTTCTTTGTATAGACTCATAGCTAATAAACCTAGTGGTGAAAAGCCCTTTCTTAGATGAGAACCATTAAATGAACTGACAGGACATCGACTCAGAAAATCATCAATTTGATTTTTAAGCCCGAATTATGAATGAGGCATCTGTCCTACAGATCTGCACTGTGTCATGAGTAATACACCAAAAACTGCTTTTCCACCAAGGACTCTGCATGTACTATAAAGTATTCACAGAACAAAAGGCATAAAAAGAAAGGTTACTTCCTAGAAACTTCTGTTTTGAGAATGCAGTGGGGACCCCAGCAGTCTCTCAGAGGGTACACATGCCACAGAGCAAAGAGACAAGCACATTTTCCCTTGCAACATGCTAGCCAATCTCCAGCTTGATGGAGACAGGAATAACACAGGAGTGAACACATCCTCTGCCATTTCAGCTCCTCTTGGGAAACTACCTACAGAAGCTTGGAGGGAGGAGACAAAGAGTGAACACGAGTCAATATATACATCAATGAGTCATACATATATATAGACTATGCATATTAATAATTACCAGAATCACTGGTAAATAAGCACCTTACTCATTTTAAAGAGTAAGGGGTGGTTCTTCTAAACATGTGACCGAAAGTCACTGTCAGAATGAAGAGGTACTTAAAAGCTTAAGCAGAGAGAAGGGAGTCTCAAAAGAAAGTTTGGGATGATCCATCAACTGTAGAATGCCAATGAAATTTTCCATGGCTCTCTAAATGCCTTCCCATTAGATGTCTGAAATGAAATGGTGGTGGTAACACTGTGCAAAAAAACAGCTCACCTCTGGCAGAAGGCATTCTAGCCACAACTGAGCATACCTACCTTCACAGAGGGAAACTAGAGATAATCAGTGTATGTCAATAGCAAAGTCCCTGCAACTCCCTGTTGTAGGAAGAAAAGTAATCTTTGTGGGAGAAAAACTGCAATTTTTTTTGTGGAAAAAAGGCAATTTTCTTAGGAACCTGAATCTGCAGAGAAAATAAGGAAAAGGTCCTTCTGGTATCAAAGATATAAATTAAATAGACATATCCACAGACACCCAAGGCTTACTAAGTAACATGGCAAGATTATTCTCTTGACTGGACTCAAACACATTTTAGGGGGAAAAAAAACCCCCGTAGGGTAACTCTACGAAAAGACCTCATTTCAGAAAAAGAAAAAAAAAAAGCCGTCTATGGTAGACTTTTGAGGTAGAAGGCTTTAATCATCCCTATATGCCTGAGGTACACAGTTGTAAAAATTGTCCATTTCCAAGGAGCTTACTGAAAGTTCTATAAAACTCCTGACAGATGAGATTAGATCCCATCGAAGAACTAGCCCTTGAATGAAGACATTCAAATCTATCCACAAACTGCAGAGTGTGAAAGCAGAAGTCAAAACAGCTGTAACAAGTGGGCAAACTTTCACAGAATTAAGGACAAACCATCACCTTTCAGTTTCAAGCAGACATCCTGTGACAGTCAGAATCCAAAGAAGAAGCACAACTCAGTGAAAATCTGACCAACTTAGCAGTCTATATCTGATTCACAGACACTTTTTCTGGAACTATTATGAACCAGAGAAGAACATGAAAGATGTATTGCAGAGAATCATGCACCCTCTACACTCCAGCAGCTGCAAAAGGGATTCAAAACTCCATCCCTGACTTCTCGAGAAAGACCTCCTACTTTTGGAACTGGTAGAAACAAGTCTGTTAGAATGGCCCCATTTGTGGAAGAGTTCTCATAGGACACAAGAAACGATCTCCTACTTGCTGTCCAGGCTGCAGTCCTGCTACTTTCATTCTCAAAGGGAGGAGCTATGCAAATCCATGAAGGGCAAAGGAACCCACCACCCAAACAACCAGTCCTTATCCCAAACTTTTTAACACTGCTTATCCACAATTTAATACATCCTTACAAAGCAGGAGACAACCAAGTTCTCCCTTACTTATTTACAAAGTAGCAAGATGTATATGAGATTCCCAAAAGAATGGGATAAGAACAACATACATACTTTGTGGATCATGGCAAAATGCAGGTGTGGAGGCAAAGTGAGTAATGATTACTGCTCCTAAGCCACATAATTAATAGGGTAACAATCACCCAAGTAGGTAAGGAAAAATGAAGAGGCATGCTAAGGAGGAAAAGAATTGATGGTCACAGAAACTATTACCAGTCAAATAACTGGCATTTATATACACATAATCAGGCCAAACCTAAAAATCAAAAAATATCACAGTGGTGTTTCTGGCACCAAACTACTCTGCTGTACAACAGGCTGCTGATGTCAACATGCACTGAGCAGAGTCCCGGTGGAGCAAGTCTCTCCACAGTCCCTTCTGCAGTTGGGAGTCTGACAGAACAGCTCACACTCACAAACAAGAAAGCCACCAACGCTTAGCTCAGACACAATGGTACATGACACAGCTTCTGTGCTTCCCATGCAGACTGTATTCTGCAAACACATACAGAATGATTTTTGCCTGAGCAAGACAAACATTGTGGTACAAACTATTAAATTATTACTTCTGCGTCTAGATTTGTCATGGCATTGAATGAAAAGTTATCACTCTTAAAAGCTGTCTCAGAAAAAAACCCTGGAGTTCCCTGGAAAGGAAAAGTCATCTGCAGTCAGTGGTGGCTGCAAGGGAAAGAAAAAGTGACTCACTTACTAGTTTTTCCTCTATGATTAGATGATTTCAAGAACAAAATATAACACCTAGACTGAACAGTGGCCAGGTGGTAAAGAAAGCAACCTGACCATGCTCAGTCTTGATTATCCAAATGAGACTATTTACCTACTGCAATATGCCAGAATTGCATATGAACACACAACCCCATCACACAGAGCCAAGAGCTCAGGGCTGCCTACTCAGAAGTCAAATTACACTATGTTTCCATTCATCTTATCTTTAAAATACATACCGCATTAGGCACATCATAAGCAACTCCTTTTCCAAAAACTGGGGTAGTTAACCGAGAGTATACATCCTCTGCATTCAAATCTTCATTTTTACTGTTGAACAGTAGAGCAGCAGCATCACTACCCAGTAAGTATGTGAACGTCTTGCCAACCATAGTGAAACTGAACACAGGTCCATACTTAGAGACAAAAACAAATTTTAAAAAAATTATTTTAAATAAGAAGAACATAAATCATTAAATCCCTATCTCTATGTACAGTCTTCCATAATAAATTACTTTCTCTCCTAAGAAGTGAATCCACAGATCCACAGATTTAATAAAGATATAAATATTTTAAACCACATTTAAATTCTGTGCTCAATATACTTACTAGTGATATCTAATGTTATAACGAACATATGTGATCTTGCACATTTTAAAACCATTTAAAAAACATAAATAAAAGATCAGCGACACTACAAAAACTAGCAGGGAGATGACAGCACATACTGCCTCTGGTAATCTACAAACACTGTCTCAAAAAAATCTGGATTTGGAGTTATGCATAGGTAATTAAATGCAAATAAGGTTTTAAAATTTAAAAGTCATCTCCAGCAAATCTTCATGCAGAATCTAATTAAATTGGAATTAAGGCTCTACTCAGGTAATTTCTTTTTGGTTGTTATAGTATAAAAACTACTAAGGTTTACCAGCCCTTTTAACATTGGCAAGGCCTTAAAATTCATCAAGTTGCCTCAGAGGTGGTCAGCTACATTCCAGTCTGGTCACAGATTAGTAAAGAATGTGATTAAAAGATATGAATTAAGGCAGAAAATAATGTCATTAAAATGGCTTTTTAATTAATTTGTGATCCAGCTATGAGTATTACCCAAATATACAAACATATTTTTTACATGTGAATCACAAGAGAGAGCTCAGAAAACACTACTTCTCTAACAACAATGTACATAAAGAGATCTGAAGATACCAGAGCCTACTGTGCACACTCTGTTCTATATTCAAGGTGGTGAGAATGAACTGATTTTAAACAGGCTCCAGAGAGAGAACTTGACAGATACACAAAAATATTTTAGCATATGCTCAGCCAGTCATGCGAGAAAACATACTTTGTCATAAGCATTTTCCAAAAATTCAATGGGACTTTTTCCAAATGCGATTGCATGTCCAAGGAAAGGGATGCCTGATGAAATAAAAGGTGGGTATTTCTGAGGAGGAAAGAGAAAAATAATTATTGAATTTTCTTCAGAGAGTATTGCAGAATCATGGAATAATAGAATATTCTGAGTTGGAAGGGACCCACAAGGATCGAAGTCCAACTCCTGGCCCTACACAGAACAGCCCCAAGAGTCACCATGTGCCTGAGAGCATTGTCCAAATGCTTCTGGAACTGTGGCAGGCTTGGTGCTCTGACCCCTTCCCTGGCATGTCCCAGTGCCCAGAAGTAATAAAATAATGTCTATTTATATAAAAACTAACCGCAGAGGACGTTTTATACATGTTTGTTTAAACTCTTTTGTGAAAAGGTCAACACTGGACAACTGATTATTTTTTCAAATTGAGCCGCATTTGAAAGCAGCAAGGATTAAAATAAAGTGAATACGATTAAGATTCTTGTATGCTGCCTCTGAAAGATACTGCAATTGAAAAGAAGGCACTCACAAAACAGTGCTGACAATTGGTTAAACAGCGTCCCAAAAGCACACAGCTTCAGGTTAGGAATGGGTTTCGCAGATAAATGGGCGCCTTCTTTTAAGCTCCATCGATAAAACAGCATCGGGAACGGCCTTTGCCTCTGAGCGCCTCCGCCTCCCGCGGTACCAACCAGCGGGGCCGAGGGTGAAGCCACAGCCACTCCTGCCAGAAACCGCCCTGGGGCTGCTGCTGGAAACGCTCCTCGCCTTCCTGAGCCGGTTCCCACACACCTGGATTCCAAGACCCCTTCCCCTGCGCTCCCAAGAAGGGCAGTCCCGAGGTGAGCGCCTCTCTCCTCCCCGGCCCGCACCCTAAAGGGACAGCGCCCGGCTCCCCCGCCCCGCTCCGCGGCGCTGCCCCGCAGGGACCACCCTTCGTGGGAGAGCGGCGGAGCCCGCCGGGTCCCCTGCCCGGCCCATCGCCTCTCCCTGGCCCCACCGCCCCCGGCCCTTACCTTCTGGTCGGCTCCAAGGTGGCGCCGGTACCCCAGCTGGAACAGGTACCCGAGGCTGAGCGCGAAGGCGGAGGCTGCCAGCACCAGGGAAAGGGGATTGCCGACGGCCACCCGCTCCAGCAGGGACCGCCGACCTCCATCAGGCTCAGCATCTCCTCGGCCACCCGCGCCATCCGCCGGGACTCCGCTGGGCTCGGCTCGGTGCCGCGGGGCAGGCCAGGGCGGAGCGGGGCGGGGCGGCCCCGCCCCGGCGCTGGGCTGATCCGAGCCCGGGTGGCGATTCCCGGCGCTGGGCTGATCTCTGCCCATGTGACGATTCCCGGCGCCGGAGCCAACCCGCGGCGCGCCGCGCGGGTGACGGCATCGCCCGGGCTGCGCCGGGCGCCATTGGGCGGGGCGGGCGGGGGCCGGGCGCGGAATGGGGGCGGCCCCGCGCCCAGCGGCGCCAAAGCGGTGTGCCGAGGGGATGTGTGACCTCCGACACCCGGGAGAACGCGTTCCTACGGCGGTGTGCCCGCGCTCCAGGCGAGCGTCACCGCCGGCATCCCCCCTGACAGCCCAGAGCGCTGGTTCGTAAGGCAGCACAGCACGCGGAGGAGGAGGACAGGTCGTTTGTGTTTAATCGTAGATGCCCCAAATCTTTAATGTCAGAAAATCCGGGTACTGCTTCTGAAATAAGAGTTGCCACTAAGATCTAAGAGTTTAAGATCAAATAGTGCACAGAGTGCATTTGGAAACAGAGAGAGCTCGTCGCTGCCGAGGTCAGGTCTGGTTGTCCGTATACAATTTTCTTCATTCAAAAGGAATGTATCTTAATACATTTCCAGAAAAATCTGTTATAGAGAGGTCTTTTAAAGGCAGAGTTTGTTCATCCAGTGAGTCCAGTCAGTTTCTACTTAAAAAAAAAACTCCTTTACATTTGTAAATCTGGGAATATTGGCAGGAAGCTGGGTTCATTATAATGTACGAGACATTTCAACAGGCTATAGTTGCGAAGTTTACTTGTAATGCTTTTAAATAATTTTTTTTGCAAAGTTCAGAAACCTAAATTTTAGTTTTGTCAACTGGAAAAGGTGCACAGGCAAAAACATAAACGTATTGTTACTGACTGAACACTCTTTAATTTCTTAAAGTGTGTAATCTCCTTTGGTAAACCCTGAATCAAGGTCTCATGTGTGCTGAGTTTTACTAGCTGTGGGAGGTAGCAGAGAATGCTTGTGAATGCTGAGATGGGTGTGGAATCAGTTAAGTACCTTCAAACTCTTCATATCAGCCACGGGATCTAGAACAGTTCTCAATTTGTTGCTTGCAAGATCTGAAGTTTCAACACTTTCTGATGCAAACAGAAATTCATCAGTGCTGTAGTTGTGAAAGAGTTATTAATATTTACAATTCCTTCAGGAGACATGACAGATGTCACTGGTTGTCACTGACATTCTGTACTGCTGGTTTATGAAGTAAGGATGTTTCTGGTGGCAACAGTGTCAGTCTACTCTTCCAAGGAACAGGATTTCCAGATTAATTACCTGTATTTTAATGCAATGTTTTTATTTCATTATTGTGTAATTGTTCCACCTGCGACTCCTAGAACGCTTCCATCAACGCTGCCTCCGTACAATCCTAAACATCCACTGGTCAGATTATGTAACCAATACATCTGTTCTAGAACAAGCAGCAGTCACAAGTATTGAGGCCATGTTGCTGAGAACACAGCTGCGCTGGGCAGGGCACATCCCGTCTCCAGGATGAAGGACCACCGCCTCCCTAAGATCTTGCTTTATGGTGAACTTGCCATTGGCTGCCACAAGAGAGGAGCCCCCAAGAAAAGATACAAGGACTCCCTGAAACAACATCTCAGCCTTGGCCATATTGATCAACATAACTGGTCTACTCTGGCCTCCAATCGGGAGGTTTGGAGACACACCATCTGTAATGTTGCTGATGCCTTTGAGAATGCACTCAGGATCACTCTTGAGGAGAAAAGACAACGCAGAAAGAATCATGTCTTGCAGAATATACCACCTAAGGAGTCTTTCTGCTGTGCCTTTTGCAACCAGACATGCCTATCTCGTATTGGCCTTTTTTGCCACCAACGTGCTTGTAACGAATGTGGGTAGAGCCCTTCCCAAATCTTCGTTTGTGAAGCCCAGCCATGATGATGTGTAATTGTTATATTAATTATATTTCAACTTATTATATCTTTACCCCACATTAATAATGATTCTTTAAGGTAAAGGAGAACTTTTGCAAACCACACATGTTGTTTCTGTTGAGCCTGTATCTTTTCCAGTTACAGACCATTTTTGAAGTGTATCCAGCTGCAAGCTAACAAAGCTCTCCCTCCCTGGAGTAACTGTTCTCTGTCACCAAGCAGCAGCTGCACAACACTGAGGCAGCCTGAAGGGTTCCCCTCCGGACCAAGGCCTCCCTCTCGCACCAGCTGCTCACTGGGGTCAGGCACTCGGTTATTCCACTTGGTAAAACTGTGCCTGCTTCCCACAGTTTTAAGTTTTCAGTTACTCTTCTGCCTTACAGGGCCTGGCTGGGGCGTTCAACTCTCAAATCTTTGCTTTTGGCAGCTGCACAGTTACTTGCTTTTTAAAAAAGCACTTGTTAGATGGTGTAAGTGGTGAGCTGGGCATCTCATGCTTACAAAGGCACAGTTATCAGATTTGCCCATCTTGCAGCTTGTTTTCATTGGGTTTTTGTTTGGTAGAGATACCAGGGTTGTTACCAATGGTGTGTCTGTGTGGTGTTGGATTTCCCTCTGTTCCAAGTTTTCATTTCCCCACTTCCAGATGAAAGGATTATACAAGCCAGCCAGCAGGAGCTCGAAGTACCCGGGTACCTGCTGGGACTGCTGAGTTGGGCTCTCAGTGGCTCCACTGATGTGCATCATCTGCAAACCTCTGCTTTGCCATGACTAACAGTTTCCAGTTTACCTGATGAATTCTGAAGTGGTTTCTGAGGAGCGCTACCTTAATTCATAGTCACCATGGGACTCTCCCCATGATCCTCTCCAATGGTCTTCCTACATACCCTACAAAGATGAGCCCATTACAACTTCCTGCTCTTTGGTAATAACACCTGCTTGGTGTAACATTTGATGGGTCATGCTGATTACAAAAATAAAAACACCAATTGTGACTTGTTGCAAACAATTTATTAGGTAGTAATAAATACGAATGTAGCAGAAAGGACTATACAGCAATAAGGCATATTAATTGTATTGTTAAATAGGCAACTGACACACCATCTTAACATTTTCCTCTAGTTTTCTAAGAAAGTGCTATGTAGAGAAATGTATTTCTGATACCAGTGCCAAGTGATAGCAGGGATGCACTATGAAGGATCCGACTGTCGCATTATTTACCTTAAATAAAATATAACAATCCATGAAGATTTACTGTTCTTTAGGCCAGTGACTTTTAAGTAGAAAAGTATAGCTTGCTAAGAAGAATACAAAATATAAGTCTCCTGTTCACCTTTTTAACGGCTTACTACTTTAATTTCTTAAACTGCACTTACTAGTAGTAAGGTAAGAGTAAAGTTACTATACAATAGCACAGTTCTTCACATTCATTTTAACTTTTATTTCAAAACTGAGAGGCAAGTGCTAATTTTTATTTTTAAAAAAAAATTTTTTTACAAAATATTGCACACTATTTTAGCATGCAGTTTACATGGAAGAAATAGTCAAGTGCACTTAAAACCCTGAAATACAACCAGAAACTAACGATTTGTGTTACAGATTCTATTTTAATGTACAAGGATATGTTTCAGACTGCATAGAATCCCACCTTACGCTTGGGACCCAACATGTTGAGCCCCAGTCCTGACTCTACAAAGAGCAGGCAGAATACTTAAAACTGTATCTGGCTTCCTTGCAATACAAATCTTCATTCCTGCATCCTGCACTGCTCACAGCCTCAAGAAACTGAAGTAAGCAATCAGTAGGAAAATTAGTTTAACAGAAATAATTTAGTACCTCCTATATGAGTTTTTGCTACTGCATATGTGTTGCAATCCAGGGTAGGATTTATTTTAACTTTCTGAAGTCCTCTGAGTAAGGTTCATTTGTAAATCCGTATCTCCCTCTCCTCCATATACACATTTTATATTGCACAGTAAAAGTAAAAATCCATTTTAAAAAACAAGCATGCTAAACATTCAATATGGCTTCTGAATGATTTAGAGTATTTCCCTTTTGGCATCCTCATGCAACATTTTAGAATAAATATGAATACAAAGTATGAGAAAGTTAAGAGTAAAAATAAAGCAAGCAAAAATGTTTGCCAGAAACCAAACAAAAACCAAGAGTTTATCAAAAGTACTTGCTCAAAGTCTAACTGGTCTTTTAAGCATATTTATCGACATATCTTAAAAATTAAGTGTGTCTACAAAATACTGTAACATATACCATACTTCCTTGATGTTCCACAGAATGACATGAAAGGTAAATAGGTTAACTGACACTTGCTTAATGACACTGATAGTCCCATAGTCCTCTGGGAACAAAAGCTTTACAGGATTCATACTCATCCAACTCGGTAAACCATTTACATTTCATTAGCTTTACTGGTTAAGCTCAAGCCCTACAATAGTTTATATATGAAACACAAAAATATTTATAAAAATAATAGATATGTTGTATTGTTTTTTTAAAAAAATAAACCATGCAGCTTCTGTACAAAGTTAAAAAACTGTACAAATTGACTTTTCTACTGTGTAAAACTCATGTACATGGAAGTCTTCTGTTACGATGAGACACAAGTTGTTTTTTGCTTAGCCATCAGACGCCACTTCGTAACTATTGTTCCCTTTGATCATTCATTTCTTTCAGCTGGCATTAACTGGCCATTTAATTTCATCAGAAGTTTAACCACGAGACCTGCCTATGTAAAGGTATGCAATTAAATTCTATCAGCATTTCAGAACTAATGACAATCAAGAATACGACAAATGCAGTTCTCAGTCTCTGCTAGTTTCAATCGCAAAGTTACCGCCTCCAGCTCTGTAGTTCTCACTATATTTGGAATATCCTTAGAGTATGAGGGATTGGGCACATGCAACAAACAGTTTCAATTAAAAAAAGTTTACCCTAGTGATTACAGATGCATTTTATGTATTTTGAATTCTGAAGCCTTCACATGCTAGGAAAACAAGCAAGCATTCTGAAAGTTTTAAAATAATTTCTGCGGGGGCTTGGCTTGGGC